TATTGCAACGGCCATATTCAGAAGTACTGGAGTGCCCTCGAATGATAGCCTCCGGCTATCACTCACCACACCCTTCTGCCAGCAAATTTCATCAAACGCCTACGAGCTTGCGGCAGCGTAAGCCCCCGACTTATCAATGTCACCACCCCTCGGGGGCCCATCAACTCATCATAACTCCTTCAGCCCGAACTTGCCTTCGGCCTAAAGGAGTGGGGGACTAGGATACACCCCTCGGGTACATACTTCAACACACCCTTCGGCAGAGGCAGACCATCACAAGTTTTCCCCGAGTCACTTGCGGAAATGGAGAAGCCCTCATCACAACACATGCAGGCAATACATCTACGCTTTCCTCAGAAAACCCTCGACATATGAGGGACTGCGGGGAGTCCCCGGCAAACATGCGAAGGTCATGAATACCTTCCCTCAGAAAACCCTCGACGTGTGAGGGACTGAGGGAAGCCTTCGGCTAACAGCAGAAGATAAGTGATCAGTCAAAGGCACCCAACAGAACGATGAAGCTTTCGGGAGAATCAACACAATTACTCCTTTTCCCTCAAGTACCTTTCGGCAAAAGGAGTGAGGGACTCCTGATGGAGTATATGGCCCAGGAACCCCCGGCCCATAGACTGCTACTTCTCCTACACAAGTCCATTGAGCTCAGGAAACAACTCAGGCCCAAATACAACGGCCCAAGCCTCAAAGTAGTCCAAAATACATACTGGGGTGCCTTCGGCCTCCTTGGCCGAAGGCTCCAAAACTCACAGGATAGCCTTTTTTGGCATACGAAGCTGCTGGGAGAAAACGGGCGAAAACATAAGCCTTCGGCATTTTCATGCCCTCGGCATCAGAAAAGCCTTCGGCTGAACCAAGCCTTCGGCCACACAAGGGTCCTTACCACATGGATCCCTCGGCTACACAAGGGGCCCTCGGCTACACAAGGAGCCCTCGGCTACACAAGGAGCCCTCGGCTACACAAGGAGCCCTCGGCTACACAAGGAGCCTTCGGCTGAACTAGCTCAATCATCGAAGATTCCTTTTGGAGACAGCCAACCACCGCATTTAATACCACGTCACATCCGCCAACCGCATTCAATGCGGTTGACGTACCACTGCCGGTGCCACCAGGCTGATGTGAACCTTCGGTCGTTGGATCACTGACACGTGTACTCTCATCGCATTTATTGCTGCTATAAATAGCAGCCCATTTCTCCTTGTAAATGAGGATCTACATCCCAACTCCACACGCTGAGTTCATTTAATAAAATCGACTCTCTCTCCTCCTATTTGCTCTGACTTCTCTCTAAGTTATTCCCGCAATAACCCCTCGGATAAGATACCCCCGGGTATACCGTCCATCAGGCATCAAACAACCATATATGCAACATATGTCGGTCTGATAGGTTGACCATCCAAATTTATCTATATTTACATCGAAATGTTTGACTTTTTAAATCATAATTATTTGTAAAAAAAATCAGAAAAATTGATGTATAATAACTTTGCAGAGTGAATATGTTGACGGCGCAACAATAAAAAATCGACAGTGTTAAGTTATAATAAAAACTGAATTGACTAAGTGAATACCTAGAAACTAGTTAAAAAAAGGTGAAATTGACACCAATAATCCCTACTTTTAGACATTTTACAAAAATAATCCCTACTCAAAATGTTCACAACAATAATCCCAACTGGATAATTGTTTCACAAAAATAAACCGGAAGTTAACGGTGTTAACTTTTCCGTTAATTTTTTTTTTAAATTTAAAATAAAATGAAGCAAATATACATAAAAACATTAATAATATTATGTTTTTGTTTAGTCATATTTCTACTATAAATTTAATTTAATAATAACTATTTTTTGTAAAATATAATAAAAATTTGAACACAGACTTGTATTCATTTTAGTACGTGGTAATGTTTAATACGTAGTACTTCGTATAGAATTACTAAAACTAATTTTAAATCTCTTATACAATGAAATAAAAATGAATGTAAATAAAATACTGATTAGAACTAAAAGAAAAATGAGAATTTGATGAGTGCGTTCTTAAATATTTCTATTACATTTTATGAAAAATAATGACTATTAAATTTAATTCGTAATAAAAGTAAATATAAGGACAAATATACGAAGTATATAATAATGTTGGTGTTTGTACATATTTTTGCTTCATTATATTTAAAATGCAATAATAAAAAAACTAACGGAAAAGTTAACACCGTTAACTCCGGTTTATTTCTGTGAAAGAGTTAAGTAGTTCGGATTATTGTTGTAAACTTTTCCGGTAGAGATTATTTTTGTAAAATGCATAAAAGTAGGGATTATTTATGTCAATTTCGCCTAAAAAAAATTGATTTATTGACCAATGTTGTGGTTACCCTTATAAGAAGAACCTAATAAGATTCATGAGGCTCGCTTGAGTATTTCATCGTTTGTTATTTCATCGTTTGTCCTAACAGATCATTCTATAATTGATATATATATATATCTTTCATGTTTTTTTAAGAATGAAGTTATATTAAGACCAAGTGACATATTAAATTATATTGTAAAGTGTGAACGCTATATTGATTATTGATATACGTAACAGACCAAGTGACATATTAAATTGTATGTGAGTAATGTGTGAACGTTACATTGATGGCTATTTTTTATCTTCAAAACGACTTGTCATTAATATAGAGCAAATATGCAACACAAAATCCAGACAGCAAATACGTCTAGCAATAGACTTAGAGTCAGTCACGCATACAAAACAATCTGACTCGCTAGACACAAAACGAGCAAGAAGAAGTCTAAAACGACCAAAAATGAAGCACTGCCTATCAAAACTCAAAAGTTCTTCAAAAATCAAAATACTCCAACCATACTTGCTCGAACTGAAATAAAAATAAGTACCATGTCAGGAAAAATAATTCATCTGAAACTTTATCCTTCTTGCGCTCACCAATTTGCTCTTAACAATTTGCTCCTTGAGATTTGTCATTGAAATTCATGCCCGAGGTACAGAAGAAAATTCTATCATGTTTCCTTGTGTTTCTTCGCCGGCAAAAATCCAAGCTGCACCCCACCACCCTTACATTCCACTCACGTTCCGAAACTCCAAAAAGGAAAACCGCATGAAACTCTCATTCCACTAGAATCCAAGTTGCACGAGCGAAGCTCGGCGAAACAAATAAAAAACTCTAATTATGTACGGAGACGGCCGCTCCTCGACAATATCAATAACGGATAGAAAACGCTTGCGGTGGCGAACCATCTCTAAGAAGCCTATATTCTTGTTTAATGAGATACGTAGTATGATTAACCCATATGAGATCATAATTCCTATTGATTTATTCACTGAATTGGAGGGAATGGATGATAGCAACGTTACATTGATTGTTGAGATAAGTGTTCTATTTTCTGTAAATTATGATATAATAAATAATAAAATGACGTATGAAAATGTGTAAATGCAAACAAACTTAATTGAATACAAAATGTAGATTAAAATCCCAAAGTTGACGACCTTAAAAATTCAGATAAAAAGCTTTGGTTTAATGTTCTTAGAAATATTGTAACAGTGTGAAAACGCACAAGTCTAATATACTTTTGTGTAACATTTTTGAAAAACGGGGAAGATGGGCTTAAATATGGATTGCAAATTGCAATGAAAATGAAAGGTATTAGATTGTGTGAAAGGAGGCCTTCCTCCACACATTAAAGTCTAAAACTAAAGAAGAAATCCGAGTCCAAAGTAGAAATTTTAATTTTGCGATGAAGAGTAAAACACGGGCACTTTTTCTCATAAAAGGGTTACAAATTCCAACAAGTTACAAATCTAATGCTTGGAGAAGTAACTACAAGCACAAACCTCTCCCTGTACCACAATGAAATTGAGAAGAAAAAGTCCAAATCACACATTTTCGACATCATTAGCAAAGTTTGGAAGTTTATGTTAGGAGGATGAATATGGAAATTTGGAAGTTAAGGACGAAAGGAGTAAGAAAATAGAGGAAAAGAAACTATACCGTTTTGAGACGATGCACTTTTTGAAAAGCGTGTGGATTGGATCGCATAATAAAATTTACGCGTCTTCATGTTACACCAATTTTAATGGTATCTTATTAAAGGTATGTTTCAAAGTTGAGTTTTTGATGGGAAGAGAAGCTTGACAAGGGTTTATAATCCTTCATTTCGTGTTTGAGAGTTTAAGGATGTTTTACTTGGACTGAAATTTGCTGGTCTGGTATGGTCTGAACTGGTTTGGTCTCTGTGTATTTTTATAACTATCCAAGTCTGGTCTGGTCTGGTCTGATTTGATCTGATCTGGTCTGGTATAGGACTGAAAACAGTTTAAGTAAAAACATCCTAAAAGGATGTTGATTGTGAAGGGCTTTAATAACGCTCTTAAACCTTTCAAATGCTCAATTTTTTAGGTTACCACAGATTAGGTAATTTTGAAGAATAATTAATTACATAGTACTCGGGTACGTAGTATATGACAACTTAACAAAATTTCACGTAACTCATCCATAACTTCTATATTTTCAAATTTGGAACTTCTAAATAAGAATGGTTTTCTTTCATGTCCCTCCCCTTCCCTTATAATGACTAACCTTCAAAATCTCCTCCCTACATCCCCTTCAAACTTCTAAACATGAGTTGTGCTAGGTGTACACATTTTTGTGTACATCTTTCGTACATTCGTCTGTCTCACGCACAAACAATTATATGTACGAAAGATGTACACCACAATGTGTAGCATTTTTCATTAACCATACTCAAAGGGTATATGCTTGGAAATTGGTTTTTGAGTGGGAGGAGAAGATGTAAGGATTGATAACCCTCTTATAACCCTCTTTAATGACCAAATTCAAGATTTTTTCAGTTTCCCCTGAATTCGTTCTCCTCAACAAATTTCTAAAAAGGCATTTAGAATATCTTTTGCGGGGAGCTGTTTAATCATAGGAGTTGGGTCTACATTTTCCTCCCTTTTGATTAACATTCTTTGTGATTTCACCGCCCTTTACTTTCTGCTGATTAAATAATCAAACATTAAAAAGAAATGGCAGATGACCAATTATCCTTCCTCCTCCATGGGAAACATCCATCATTGCTTCCAACAGTTCTTTTTCAAAACCGCTATAGAAATCCTTCTGAGAGTTCTCCATTTATACTCGACTATTTTCCCATTCTCCAGCTGTGCACAGATTTGTTTCTTTTCCTGTTCTATCTCCATAGCCATGGATGCTTCCTCTTCTGCAAATACAGTCAACGGGTTCTACTCATTCATGAACAGGGGCATTGACGATCTGGAAAGGGTCTTTCTGTCCACCAATTTCATGTCAATCCAGTTCCTGCAAAGGGTATTGGCCCTCTTGAGATCTTTCCACTCCCAGCTCACTGTTCTTGTGCAGAAGCTTCACCTGCCTGTGGGTGAGAAGTGGCTGGATGAGTATATGGATGAAAGCTCCAAGCTTTGGGAAGTTTGCCATGTCATCAAGTCAGCCATTTCTGGTATGGAGAACTACTGTTCTGCTGCTTTTAATGTCACTTCTTCCCTTGACAGCAATCATCATCTCAGCCCGCAGTTGTCACGTCAGGTTAGTTTTTAGTTCAACTAAATCATTTCGATAATGTTAGAGTTATATGTCTATATATACGAATCTTAATTATGAGTTTAGTAAAAAAATACGGAGTACCTCCCTCCCAAAAAAAAGTTTCACCTTTTTTTTTGGATCTCCCAAACAAATTCTCATTTTCTTACTTAGCAAACAAATATACACCAAAATAGTATCAAAACAGTGCAAAACACTGTCAAACAATATCACAATAGTGTTCTCTATAATAAAATTTACCTCTCAAAAAATTTATTTTATTAATGTGTGAAGTCAAACCCAAAACTTGTTTTCCACAGAGTACTGCATTTGGGATATGTCCAACTAAGATCCAGACACGAGCAGGGGTGGATCCCAATTTGATCAAAAGTGTTCACTAGAAGTGACTAGAACACCCTAAATATTGAAAGCGGTGCATATTGTATAATGAAATTACACTAGCAAAATGCAGAAGCCAACTTCTTCTCCATAAATTGTAAGCTAATTTCGAACACTCAAAACAAAAATGTTAGATCCGTTACTGGACAGTGGACACGAGGAGGGTGACACTTATTAAGAAAAATGAGTTTATATGATTGATATTAATTGATAAAATAAGAATAAAGTTTTTTTTATTGAGGAACTAACTTATTCATTTAACTTAGATCAATTAAAGTATTACGGAGTATAATTGAATCGTTAAAACATAAAGAAATAATGAAATAATGATGTGTGCTATCAAATGCATTATAGGTACCTAGCTACTACAGAGTATTATTTATTATGGAGTAGTAATGTATAGAGACCCTTTGGTTACACTAAAATTAGCTGAATTGATTGATTATGCTTAAACTTATGAAGTTCTGGTTGAAGTGGCTATATTGGTTGATTCATGAAAAAATTATATTTAAAATATTTGTTATTAATAAAATAAATAAAAAAATTATACGAAAAAATAGCTAAAATGATCATCTACAGTAACATCAGCCAATAGAGCCACAAAAGTAACTTCAACCTTACTTTTTCTGCTTATTACAAAATTCAGCGCGTGAAATCTAAGGTTACGTTTTAGGTGAAAAAGTTGGCTGATAAACCTGATAAGCCGAAAAAGGGTCACCAAACGGACTCATAATAGTGATCAATTGTTCACATTTTTATTACTTAATTTTTACTCCGTATACATTTAATGTTATTCTTTACTGCTTTTAGGATGTTTTTACTTTGACTGTAATTTACTGGTCTGGTCTGGTCTGGTCTGGTCTGAATTGATCTGGTCTGGTCTGGTCTGGTTTCTTTGTATTTTTATAACTATCCATGTCTGAACTGGTCTAATCTGGTTTGGTCTGGGACAAATTATAATCTAAGTAAAAACATCCTTATTATGTACTACATAGTACTTTAATTTTGTACGTGCAATTAATGTTATTATTTGCTGATTTGTTTGCAATATGGCTAATTATGAATTACAGTCTATTAGGCTAGGCTTTTTGAGAGTTTTCAAAGATGATCGAGCTAACACTTATTGTTAATGACTTTATATTTTTTCACTTCTAAAAAAGAAAAGATCACTACTTTCACTCTTGCCCATAAAGATTCACCTTTTGACTTGGTGTTATATGTGGTTTATATAATTCTTTTTTATATACTACCCGTCCTAAATAAATATCACATTTTATTTTTGGGTAGGTTCAAAATAAATTTTACTATTTTATTTTTGATAAGTTCTTAATATATAGCTACTTTATACGTACTCTGATACTCTTACTTTATTATCTACTTTACACTCAAGTACTCTTTCTCTCTCACTACACTAAAGCTACTTTTATAGGGTATATGATGGGAAAGTGAAAACAAATTCGACTTTCTTAAAAATCATAAAGTCAAAGTGAAATTTATTTTGAACCGAAATGAGTATCAATTTTTATTGTATTGAGATGCAATTAACACGGACTAATAAATCTTTTTATTGAGTTTCCAAACATTATTTTCACCATCTCAAATAAAATTTCAATTTCCTTTTCCGTTTGTTTCAAAATTCTTTACATTCTTGCCTTAGAAATAAATTGTATAGTTCATATATTTTCTATTCTTTTTAAATCAATCACAGCCACGCTACTATTTTATCAAACAACATGCCAAATATTTTAAGCATTAACACATGACAGTATTTAACTACTCCCTCCGTCCCCTTTTAAAAGTCCCGTAAGAAGGTGGCACGAGTTTTAAGAAAAGTGAGTTTGTGTGGTTGATATTAATTGATAAAGTAGGAATAAAGTAAAAATAAAGTAAGAATGATTTTGAACCACACAAACTTTACCAAATGAGGTATGGGACATTTAAATAGGGACATCCCAATATGGTAAAATGGGACATTTAATTGGGGACGGAGGGAGTACTACGTATTAGAGTAAGTTTAGTCAAATCTCTTCAAATGATAGTGGGAAAGCAAATTACGCGTTGAAAGTATTAAATTTGGTTGGTATGCATGGTTAGATTATACATTTATACCCTTCCCCTTGATGTGTAAGAGCATCTCCAATGGTATAATGTGCACGGTGCACATGTGGCATGAGAGATAGCCACATAAATATTAGTAAATAAATTCTTTCTCTCCTTATTTTAATGATTTTATACAGATTTAGTAAGTTTTTCTTCACAATGTCAAGGAGACCGTCTAAATGTTGACATTGCAGTTGACATTGCAGGGAAAAACTAACCAAAATTATATAAAATCAATCAAATAAGAAGAGAGATAATTTATTTGTTAAAATTTATGTGGCTATCACTCATGCCACATGTGCACCGTGCACATTTTGGCATTGGAGATGCTCTAAGAGCATCTCCAATGCTACAATGTGCACGGTGCACACGTGGCATATGAGATAGCCACATAAATATTAGTAAATTAATTCTTTCTCTCCTTATTTAAATGATTTTATACAGTATTGGTAAGTTTTTCTCCACAATGTCAAGGAGACCGTCTAGATGTTGACATTGTTGTTGACATTGCAGAGAAAAACTTACCAAAATTGAATAAAATCATTCAAATAAGAAGAGGGATAATTTATTTGCTAATATTTATGTGGCTATCAATCGCCACATGTGCACCGTGCATATTATAGCATTGAAGATGCTCTAAAAGATGATTCACAAAGTTGACCATTGTAAATTTATTTTTTTTCGTGATTCTGTACGACAATATGTACGGAGCATATCTTTAGAAATTATAAAAAAAATTATTATAAACTCACAATTGCTTATGCCAAAAAAAAAACTCACAATTAAATGCAACAATCTACTTTTCATGTTGTCGCCACACAGATTTGACCATTAAAATATATCATTTCTTATTACTAAAAATTTAAATTTCAAATTTACAATATGAGGAATTTTAAAAAAAATAAAAAAATGAATAAATATAATATATTAATAAATTAAATATAGTCAAAGTAGAGAATATGAATATTGTTAAACTCACATGTGTTAAAAAAGAAAGGAGGTAGTACTCATTAACATAAATAAAATGGTATTCATAAGAGGAGAATAAAATGAAGGTATATTGGATTACAAAATTAGAGACTTAGAGTGAATATCATTTTGGGCTACTAGAGTTATAGTCATATGATCATATATTCATATCCCAAAGACTCCATTTTTATAGTTTTTTGAGGACAGAAAGACAGAACAAGCTATGTGTTTTCGATCAATTTCTTTTCTTTTTATTGGTTATCCTTGTGGAAATATGGATAATGATGGATATTCTTGATGAAAAAGCAGGTGATGAGGGCAATATCAGGGTGCAGAAGAGAGGCAGCAGGACTTGAGGAAGAAAACAGGGTTTTAATGGAGACAAGAATAGAGCCACTCTCTTCTGTTCTGAGGTTTGAAGGAGTGGTATCAATGGAGTCAAAGCTGAATGGGTTCAATGGATTCAGGGGAGTTTTGTACGCCATGAGGAATGTCAGTTCCCTCCTACTCATCATTTTGCTCTACGGGTTCGTCCATTTTCCTCCCGAATCAACCGCCTTCCCCGCCTCCTCCTACTATGAAGGAGGAGGAGGAGGGCGGTTGTTCTTTGGATCGGCCTCAAGATTGCACCGGACAGTGGCTGATGGGATCAGGCAGGCTGGCGGAAGCCGGCCCGGGGTTCTGCTCTTTGACTTTAAGAGATGCCAGGCAGCCATGGATGAGCTGAAGGTTGAGTCGGAGAGGAGGAGAGGGTTGATGAATGTGGGAGGAGATGATATAAGGGAAAAAGTTGAGAGCTTGAAGGATTGCTTTGGTGTGCTCAGATCTGGCATTGAGAATATTACTCTTCTGCTTGACGATTTCTTTGATGACATTGTTGAGGGTAGGAAGATGCTCTTGGATCTGTGTAGCCATCGCTAAATCATATAGGAGAGCAATTAAGTAAGCTAGATACAAATATCAAATATCCATCAACAAGGCTATGTATTCTCTAGTGTTTTGCTTTGTTTTTGTTGCGAGCTTTCCTGAGTTCATCCAAGTTGAATACCAACCCCAAGGACACTTCATCCCCGACCCGACTAAACATATGGGAGGTTGTATCCGTGCACGGTCAGAGGTAGTGGTGGACCGGGTCCAATCCGGTTCCGGTTCGGGCCTAGGCCCGGCCGGGCCTGGAAGCTTTAGAGTTAGGCCCGGGATCGGCCCGGTAGGCTAACGGTTCCGGGCCGGGCTGGTTCCGGTTGATTTTTTTTAATTTATTTATTTCAACCCCTACCCCCACCCCCAAACCCCTCGTAATCACCCAGCCCATCCCACCTAAACCCAGCCCAAAGCCAAAAAAAAGCCCGGATCGGGTCCATGCTTTGTGAGAGGTGCAACTAGCCCAATGTACAAGAGTTGTAATCTAATTTTGATTCTTGATCATTCATCTATATTTTTCACCACTCAACCAATTAAACTACCTCACACGGGTGGCCTTATCACGTGTATTGCTTTGTGCACCACTGCACCCCATAAAATACTTGATGTAACCTTCATTGGCAAAATTACCCTCTTAACCTTTTTTTGCTCAAAATGCCGGCACACGTACAATTTTTTACATAAACGGCACACATACAATCAATTAGGAAACGGGAGTGCTTAATTTTTAACTCTTTTCACTTGCAATTAGCAACTAGCTAGTTCGGTACAGCAGAATGTTTGTTTCTATAATTCTACTATGCAATGTTCTTAATTTTTTTTTTCAATTCTTTTTGTTACACATTTTTTAAATGAAAAATTACATATTTATGACTAAAATAAAGATTGTGTCAAAATGGTCTAGTAACTACTTCCCCCGTCCCGCTAAAAACTTTCTGCTTTCCTTTTTTAGCTGTCCCAAAATGATCTTCTCATTTCCCTAAATGCAAAGTTATCCTACATCAAAACAGTGTCAAATAGTGCAAAAAGTGTCAAACAGTGCCAAATAGTGTACTCTACAGTAAAATCAAATTTATTTCCTAAATATGAGTGTAGGTCAAAGTAGGAAGTTCTTAGCGGGACGGAGGTAGTATATTAGTAATGAAATAATAATAATAATTTATGTTCAAATTTTAAACTTAAGTTACAATGACACTAGATTGTAGTAATTATTAATTTATTAGTCATATTTGTGTAAATAAGTTATATTTCAGTGATATTTGTGAAAAAAAACTCTTTTTAAATTTCAGAGGCCGTTTGGAACCACTGTTTTTCGGCTTATCAGCCAACTTTTGCGCCAAACACGTAACTTTTGCTTTCGCGCGCTAGATTGTGTAATAAACAGAAAAAGTAAGATTGAAGTTACTTTTCTGGCTGTTTTGGCTGAAGTTACTGTAAATGATCATTTTAGTTATTTTCACATATAATTTTTTCTTAATTTTATTAATAAAATATATTTTAAAATTATTTTTTTCTTAAATCAGCAGAATCAGCCAATGCAGCCACTCAGTGGCGGATCTATCTCTTATATTTTAGGTGTTCGAAATCACATTAAAACTACAATTTCAATATGGAGCATTAATTTATGCAAGAATTATGCCCTTTTATCATCATTCCAATAAAAAACTACTACATACATGCCCTTTTTTACATTTCAATAAGAAAAACACTAATTGAATTCTAACCTTTCTTTGAACCAGAGCAATTTGAAATTAGGGAATAAGTAGAGTAATATATCTTCCAAATTGAAACAACGAGATCAACAAACCAGCAACATATAGTCCGCACTAAGGCTTGCACTAGCATTTAAACAATTATTTTTTCTAGCACAAGATCGACTTAATAAACAGTGATAGTTACTATTTCTAAAAAAATCAGGGTGTTCAAGTGAATACTCTTGAACAACGGTGGATCCGTCACCGCAGCCACTTTAGTCAGAACTTCATAAATTTCAACAGAATTAGCCAAACCAACCGATTTTCGTGCTACCAAACGGACTCTCGATCTTTTTTAAAACTCTTGCTCGTGTTTTTTATCGTTAAAACTTTTACTTGTTAAAATATTATTAAACACACATTCAACGTGTGTGTATTATTTGTTTTTTATTTACAGCACTAGCGCTTACGCCTTACGTCAATCATGAAAGACCACGACAAAATTATTAAAAGACGTTTTGATTTAAAAACAAAACTTTATCAATTCAAAACTTGATATATAGATAGATTATGTGTAAATTTATCAATTTAATTTAAGATCTACTGGATTACACCCCATAGCTAAGCTGAGCCGTTGCTTGTAGGGGTGGGCATGGATGGTTAACCGCATTTCGGTTAACCAATTTTTCGGATAGTATATTTACAATACCCCTACAAGCAACGGACTTAATTTAAGGATATGTAACAAATGAATACACGGAGTTATATAGTGGCTAAATAATTAAAAATTATTAATGTAAAACCTAAAATATACGGAGTAATAAGATTAGATATCTTTGATTTTGATTTATTTCATTGCTACATTTCATTTTTTTCTCCACAAAAATTTATTAGTTTAATTAAATGCATGCTATTTACGTCTTAGATTGATTTAGACAATTGGTACTTTGAATTATTGGAAGAAAGAATAACAAGCGCGCATACTACTTACGGCTATTGACTTGACAAAAATAAGACATAATCCTGGATGGACAAAAAAGATACTACCTCCGTCCCATTTTATGTGTCTTAGTTTGACTTGACGCGGTTATTAATGAAGTGATTGAAAAAGTAAAAGTTGTGGTTGAGGTTTGAGTATAATAAAGTGAAATAGTGTAGACCACATATTTCTTTCCAGAAAAGGAAAGGAGACACTTATTTTGGGACGATCCAAAAAGGAAAGTAGGACAGGTAAAATGGGACGTAGGGAGTACTTGTTTCTATTCGCTTGGGCCTGTCAACATACAAGTATATGTGTATATATACACGGGTGTCGTTCCACTTGCTCTACGGAAAGAGAACGAACAACAAACATACTTTTCTGTTTGCAAACCTGGGAAGTGGTTTTAACTTTTGTAAATGATTTGATAAAAAAGTGATTAATAGTAAAAGTTGGTAGTGTTTGAGAAAAAAGTGATTTTGAAAAGTAAAAGTTGGTGGTATTTGGTAAAATAAGTGCTTTTTGTGTAATAGAAAACGTAAAAAGCAGATTCTAGCTTTTCGCTTTTAAGTAATTCATTTAAGTAGAAGTTGTCATTTCAAAACATCTTTTTTAACTTTTTTAAGCCAAAAGTTGGGAAATGAAGTGCTTTTTTAGTTGTGTTCGCAAACAAAGCCTTAATTACATACGAGTACTCCGTATATACGTAAGGAAATAGGAGAGAAAGCTAAGCTAGTAGACCGCTACACACCATCGCCGGCTGCCGACAAGAAAGACCATCATAGCTTCGCCGGAGAGGGAAGAAAAAAAACGAGGAAGAAGATCTACTGGACTACACCCCATAGCTAAGCTGAGCCGTTGCTTGTAGGGGTGGGCATGGATGGTTAACCGCATTTCGGTTAACCAATTTCTCGGTTAGTAGATTTACAATACCACTAACCGTACCATAACACCGGTTAACCGGATACACCATAACCGTAATATAGGTTAACCATTAAGTGGTTAACCGAAAAACCATTTGAACAGTTTAAAATGTGTCGCCTCCTACCATTAAGCGACGCACTCTGTATTAAGATGCATCGAAGGTCTATACTCTTCTTTTTCTACTCCGTATATGAAAAACGACACACTCACAAAGTTGTATGACAAACTTATTAATTAATTAGTTAATTAATTATAATAATATAGCTCCCTACTACCACGTTTTGCTCCACGGCCTCCACCTGTCGAGTGTCGACCATAGCCTCTTAAGCTAAATTTGTTTCACGTACTCGGTACTCCCCCATTAGTCCATTATCAAATACGAGTATGTTTGTACCGTTTTTTTATTCGGTTTGTTAACCATACCGCAAGTTTTAAAAACTTGGTACGGTTAACCGGAAAAAACACCGGTTTTTCGGTTATTTAGTTGGTTTAACGGTTACGGTTTTTTATGTCCACCCTTAGTTGCTTATCCACCAAAGTAGAATTGTTATGTTAGCCACCGCCGTCTCCACCAGTCATTCATCGCCGGTCATCTCTCCCCAAGGAAGACGACACGTACAGTGCAGTACGTAATACTCCGTTCCTGTTTTTATTCTAATATTTTTGGGCTGGGAATTAGTTAAATGATTTGGACTGAACTGGTCACTTAATTAATACTCCGTATATACTCGTATGAACTAACTCTAATGGTAATAACAATAAAATTAAGGCTAAAGGGTCAAATAAGTACATGAACTAACTTAAAGTGTTCAATTAGCCCCTTATATAGGAAGTTCTGTTTGGCCGTCGCCAATTGGGGCGGTTCCCGATGAAAGTTTTTGATGAAATTTTTTGAGCATCTTCTTCATTAAGTCTAGTTTACCCATACCAAATTTCAGCTAAAAATTCAACCGGGAAGACAGTCAAATGATTTTTTGAAGAAAACTGTGCAGTTAAACTGCGCAGTATATTTCGGAAAATCATTTGACTGCCTTCCCGATTTAATTTTTAGCTGAAATTTGATATGGGTAAACTAGACTTAATGAAGAAGATGCCCAAAAAATTTCATCAAAAAATTCCACCGGGAACCGCCCCAATTGGCGACAGCCGAGCAGAACCTCCTATATAAGTGGTCAATTGAACATTTTAAGTTAGTTCATGTACCTATTTGACCCTTTAGCCTAAAATTAAAGTAGCTGGGCCGTAAGAATATTACTCCATTAGGATGGCTATGGTCACTTTTCTTTTGACATTTTTAGAATAATTTATATGAAAGAGCTAAAGCAAGATATGATTATAAATCAATTGAAAAGGACTAATTAACTCTCAAACCTTATAAATTGGGGAAATTATCGAAAATAGAATAAAATACTTATTATGCAATTTTATACTCCGTACTTTAATATTAAAGGGGGGAAAATAATTAAAATACCCCAAACTTTGAAGGGGTGTGAGATAAACACCTCAAACTTTCATATGTGATTTAAATACCCCAAACTTTTTATAAAAAAGTTATTTTAACACCATGATCATGTATTATTTATTTTAAAAATGTAAATTTATGGTGTTAATTGCATAATTTAAAATAGCAAATTGAAAACGTTGCAATTATATGGTGTGGAAGGGTAGAACTATTTATTTCATAATGTAAGTTTAGAATGTTAATTGTATCTTCATGAATGGTAAAATATTTGAAATTATGAAATTAACACCAAAAAGTAGCATTTTTGAAAGAAATAATACATGACCATGATGCTAAAATAACTTTTTATATAAATTTTGGGGTATTTAAATTACATATGAAAGTTTGGGGTGCTTACCTCACACCCCTTGAAAGTTTGGGGTATTTTAATTATTTTTCCCTATTAAAGGTGATTATTTTCAGGACTGAAATAGAAGAGTGTAGAAAGTGTCACAAATC